GGTTTCTGCTTTTGCCTCTTCTTCGTTTCCTCTTGCTGCTGCCATGATTGCCTTTTGCCTCCTGCCATGATTCTGAGGCCTCCCCAGCCATGTGGAACTGTAAGTCCAGTTAAACCCTTTTTTCTTCCCTGTCTTGGATACGTCTTTATCAGCAGTGTGAAAATGGACTAATACATTAAGTTGGGACCAAGAATGGGGCATTGCTGAAAAGATCCCTGAAAATGTGGAAGTGACTTTGGAACTGGGTAACGGGCAGAGATTGGGACAGTTTGGAGGGCTCAGAACAAGAAAGGAAAATGTGGAAAAGTTTGGAGACTTCTAGAGACTTTTTGAATGGCTTTGACAAAAATGCCGATAGTGATATGAACAATAAGGTCCAGGCTGAGTTGGTCTCAGATGGAGATGAGGAACTTGTTGGGAACTAGAGCAAAAGCGGCTCTTGTTATGTTTTAGCAAAGACATTGGTGGCACTTTGCCCTGCCCTAGAGATTTGTGGAATTTTGAACTTGAGAGAGATGATTTAGGGTATTTGGCAGAAGAAATTTTTAAGCAGCAAAGCACTCAAGAGGTGACTTGGATGCTGTTAAGCATTCCATTTTAAAAGGGAAACAGGCTGGGCACAGTGGCTCATGCCTGTAATCCCAGCACTTTGGGAGGCTGAGGTGGGTGGATCACCTGAGGTCAGGAGTTTTAGAGCAGTCTGGCCAACATGGTGAAACCCGTCTCTACTAAAAATACAAAAATTAGCCAGGCATGGTGATGCGCACCTGTAATGCCAGCTCAGGAGGTGGAGGCAGGAGAATTGCTTGAACCCAGGAGACAGAGGTTGCATTGAGCTGAGATTGTGCCACCGCACTCCAGCCTGAATGACAGAGCGAGACTCCATCTCAAAAAAAAAAAAACCAAAAAATTTAAAAAAGGGAAACAGCATAAAAGTTCAGAAAATTTTCAGCCTTACAATGCAGTAGAAAAACACAAAACAAAACAATTTTTTGAGGAGAAATTTAAGCCGACCACAGAAATTTGCTTAAGTAGCAAGGAGCCTGGTGTTAATCCCCAAGACCATGGGGAAAATGTCTCCAGGCCATGTCAGAGAACTTCACGGCAGCTCCTCCCATCACAGACCTGGAGGCCCAGGAGGAAAAAGTGGTTTCGTGGGCCAGGTCCAGGGTCTGCATGCAGTGTGCAGCCTAGGGATTTGGTGCCTTGCATCCCAGCTGCTCCAGCCGTGGCTAAAAGGGACCAATGTAGAGCTCAGGCTGTGGCTTCAGACGGTGGAGGCTCCAAGCCTTGCCAGCTTCCATGTGGTGTTGAGCTTGTGGGTGCAGAGAAGTCAAGAATTGAGGTTTGGGAGCCTCCACCTCAATTTCAGAACATGTACGGAACACCCGAATGTCCAGGCAGAAGTTTGCTGCAGCGGTGGGGCCCTCATGGAAAATCTCTGCTAGGTCAGTGCAGAGGGGAAATTTGGGGTCAGAGCCCTCACATAGAGTCCCTACTGGGACACCACCTAGTGGAGCTGTGAGAAGAGGGCCACTATCCTCCAGACCCTAGAATAGTAGATCCACTGACAGCTTGCACTGTGCACCTGGAAAAGTCACAGATGCTCAAAGCAGCCGGGAGGGAGGCTGTACCCTGCAAAGCCACAGGGACAGAGCTGCCCAACACCATGGCAGCCCACCTCTTGCATCCACATGAACTGGATGTGAAACCTGGAGTCAAAGGAGATCATTTTGGAGCTTTAAAATTTGACTGCCCCACTGGATTTCAGGCTTGCATGGGCCCTGTAACCACTTGGTTTGGGCCAGTTTCTCCCATTTGGAACAGCTGTATTTACCAAATACATGTACTGCTATTGTATCTAGCAAGTAACTAACTTGCTTTTGATTTTACAGGCTCATGGAAGGGACTTGCCTTGTCTCAGATGAGATGTTGAGCTGTGGGCTTTGGGTTAATGCTGAAATAAGTTAAGACTTTGGGGGACTGCTGCAAAAGCATGATTGGTTTTGAAATGTGAGGACATGAGGTTTGGCGGGGCAAGGGGCAGAATGATATGGTTTGGCTGTGTCCTCACCAAAATTTCACCTTGAATTGTATCTCCCAGAATTCCCACATGTGGGCATTGAGGCAGAGGTAATTGAACCCTGAGGGCCAGTCCTTCAGATGCTATTCTTGTAATAGTGAATAAGTCTCATGAGATCTGATGGCTGTATCAGGGTTTCCACTTTTTGCTTCCTCCTCGTTTTTTCTTACTGCCACCATGTAAGATGTGCCTTTCACCTCCCACCATGATTCTGAAGCCTCCCCAGCCATGTGGAACTGTAAGTCCAATTAAACCTCTTTTTCTTCCCATTCTTGGTTATGTCTTTATCAGCAGTGTGGAAATAGACTAATACATCCCCATATTCCCCAGATGTCATGGGAGGGACACTGTGGGAGGTGATTGGATCATGGGGTGGTATCCCCCATGCTGTTCTCATGATAGTGAGTGAGTCCTCACGAGATCTGATGGTTTAATAAGCACCTGGCATCTCCCCTGCTGGGTCTCAGTCTCCTGCCACCTTGTCAAGAAGGTGCCTGCTTCTGCTTTGCCCTCTACCATGACTGTGAGTTTCCTGAGGCCTCCTCAGCCAGGCAGAGCTGTGAGTCAGTTAAACCTTTTTCTTTATAAATTACCCAGTCTCAGATATTTCTTTATAGCAGTGTGAGAACGGACTCATACAAAAGGCCTTGCCCCCACCCCCAACACACACACAGTGTGGCCGAGTGTGGCCTCCCAGCACTTCCCAAATCCCTCCTTTTCAGGATATCTTCTTGCCTTGCAGATGATTTATGATTTACTTTCGTTTTCTTTTTTTTCTTTTCTTTCTCTTTTTTTTTTTTTAAGACAGTCTTGCTCTGTTGCCCAAGCTGGAGTGCAGTGGTGTGATTTTGGCTCACTGCAACCTCCACCTCCCAAATTCAAGCAATTCTCCTGCCTCAGCCTCCCAAGTAACTGGGATTATGGGCATCCGCCACCATGCCTGGCTAATTTTTTGTATTTTTGGTAGAGGCGAGGTTTCACCATGTTGGCCAGGCTGGTCTCAAACTCCTGACCTCAGGTGATCCACCCACCTGGACCTCCCAAAGTGCTGGGATTACAGGTGTGAGCCACCGCGCCCAGCTACTTTCTTGTTTTCAATTGCTGCTATTTTAAAGTTTCTATCATTGCCATGGTTTTTGTGTCTGTGGGGGAGACATGCCCACTTTTCCATCTGGAAACCAGAAACCTGCTTTACAACGTCCTTAAAGCCTGAGTAACATTGGTTTGCATTCACTGTGTCTTTTTTTATAGTTCCTTGCTCCGGGTCATCAGCAGAGCTCTGTGGTTTTGAGTGTGGACTCCATGTGGGCTGTGGGTGTGAGCCCAGCTTTCTCCCGACAGAAGCGCACCTTTTCATCACTCTGTGCCTCAGTGTTCCCGTCCGTGGGGTGGGAGACGCGATCGCAGACATCACACAGCGTCCTTGTCAGGATTGAATGAGATGGTGGGGCACAGACGGCATAGCCCAGGCCTCTGAGACGGGTGCTTGTACCCACACACCGATGTAAATGGGTCTAAGAAACCACTGCGCCACGAAAATGACTGAGGTTCAGGAAACACCATTTACATGTGGCTGAATGCAGGCCCAGTTGGGCAGTGACCTGGCGTGGCCTCCAGGGAATCAGCCTCAGAGACACAGTAAAACCTGTAGAAGCTGACCCCAGTGGTGACCATCCTAACCCACCGCCCCCCGGAGCCCACCTGCAACCTTGCCAGCCCCCTGACTGTCTCCAGCCCAGTCCTGGGGTGGCCTGTCCTGCTGGGCCTCGGCAAGGAGGGGAGGAGAGGCTGGAGTGCTGGCAGGGGCCTCGCTCTGTAAATGGGATTTGGGAGGTGCTGAGAGGCTACACCTGCCACACTGTGGAGGGGAGGGGCAAAGCCTTTGTATGTGTCCGTTCCCACACTGCTATAATGATGGTGTCACTTCCTGGGCAGGGCAGAACCCACCCGAGGGCAGAGGGCAGAGGCAGTTCCCGGTGTGGGGAAGGTCCTGCTCTGCACCCACACCAGAGGCTTCCATGGCAAGGTGTGGGCATTGCCCTTGTTTCCCCAGACCACGGTCTGCCCGTGCCCACCCCCTGCCCAGTAGGTCCATGGCAAGGTGCGGGCATTGCCCTCATCTCCCCAGACCACGGTCTGCCCGTGCCCACCCCCTGCCCAGTAGGAGGTGGTTTTGTGCCCAAAGCCCCCTGCATCCTGCTGTGCCCAGGTCCTGGCTGATACCACCTTCACTGTCTTCCCTGCCCACACCTGCAGCCCCAGCTGTCAATGCTGCCCATCCAACAGGCTCCCCAGTCCCCTGCTGTCTGCACGGGGTGCTCTGTGCTCTGGACAGAGCAACAGAAAGGAAGGGCAGGAAGCCTTGCCACATGGGGAGGTGAGACAGGAGGTGAGCAAGCCCCAGAGGAAAGCATCCCAGGGGGTCCACACGAGACGGGGTGAAAGGTGGCTCCGCAGGGCCCAGCACCAGCCTGGGAGCATCGTGCCCAGTTCTGGTCACCTGCCCTGGGTGGCGGCTGCGTCCCTGCTGACAGGGCCTGATTGCTTGTTTGCCCCACTGACTGCCTCTGTCTTCCTGTACGAGTGGTTTCCTCACACAATCCCCCATGCTGGAAATCACTGCCGGGGTGACCTCTGGGTCCTGGCGGCCCCCTGTGCCCTGTCTTCTGGCCAGCCCTCCCACAACCCAAGACTGGCTCCCAGGGTGCTCTCAGGAGGACATGGATGGCCATCTGGCTTCTTGTCCCTCACCCCGCCTGGTCCTCCCAGAGACTTCCTGGCCCCTCAGCGGCTGATGGGGGTTCTGTACCATCCCCTGGATGTGTCTTCCAGCCGGCAGGGCCTAGGCAGTCAGCCCTCAGAAGACCTGGACAGCCTGGGAGAGACGGTAGGCAAGAAAAGACACTGGGACAGGAAATGTAGGCGATGCTCAGGGTTTATTTGCAGAACTGGGCTGAGCTGGGCAGAGGGGGCTTTGGGATGCTGACCCTTCTGACCTGGCCATTGTGGCCTCAGCCCCGAGGTACCCTGCAGCAGGCACGGACAGGCGGACACATCGCCTGGCGCAGCTTCCCAGCAGCAACCAGCCTTGCCTGGACCAGGCTGTCTGTGCCCCAGCGGCTGGACACGGCCAGCTGGGATCCGTGCTGCACGGGGGCTCTGGCCGTGGTTCTGGCCGTGGCTCTGGGCATGGCGGGAACACACAGGCCTGCACGTGCCTAGTTTGTTCCAGGGTGTCCCAGTGACCTCAGGGAGGGGCAAGGCCAAGACGGGCCACAGGCTCTACCAGGGCAGGACTCCTGAGTGGCGCTTTCCTGAAAGGCATCCTGCTGGCTCCTCACCCTTCCAGGGGTCGGTTCTACCCCTGGGGCAGGCAGCAGGAGCATGGAGGCACAGGGTGCCAGAGGCCGGGGGGTTCCGTGGAGCTGGCCCAAGGTGGTCGTTGTTGGGCGATGTGCATTCTGGCTCCAGATGGACAGGGCATGGGGTCGAGGCAGAACATCATCAGATGGCAGTGGCCTCCTAGACCGGGAATCTGGGTGTGTGTGTGGGAGCCACGGGCTCAGAGACACAGAAGGGCGTGCAGCCACACTCATCCACGTGGATGTATGTGTGCAGGACGGCTGAGCCATCAGGACAGCGCAAGGGCACGGTCTCCTCGTGGACCCGCGTCTCCTGGCAGCAGGTGCACTGGTGCCGCATGGCCTGGGCCTCCGCTGAGTACCTGTGGATGCAGGGTGGCCCTCAGACCAGCCACCTGGGCCCCACCATTTCTCTGCCCAGCTGCGGTGACACGTGGGCCTCTGGGGTCCTGGGCCAGACGGCCACCCCTCTGTCCACAGTGGCCTGCTCTGTGGGCACATGGAGCTTCACCTTCCCAGGATGGGGTGGTTCTGGGCTCCCTGGGTCCCTTGGCCCAGGTTCTGTCTTCTGTGGCCCTTCCCCGGTCTGAACCAGCTCCTCCAGTCCTGCTGACCCTGAGCAGCCCTTGACCCTTCCTCCTGCCTCTTCTAGCCAAGGGTCAACCCTCCTGGCCCCTCCTGCTGACAGCTGGCCTCTGTGGCAAGCCGTGCGGGCTCCATGGAAGGCTCTGTTTCCGCCCACTCTCCCTAGGGGATACCCCGGACCTGAGTTTGCGGCCGGGAGCTCTGGGCCTTGTGGCTCAGCTCAGCAGGGCCCTGGCCTGGCCGGGAGAGTGGCCCCAGTCTTTCTGCCGATGGATGTGGAGAAGGGGGGCCCTGCTGGGGAGCCACTTTCCTCCTTCCTGGAGCTGTTGTAAGCCCTCCTGACCCAGAGCGGGATGCTGGCCAGCAGACGGGCCCAGACGGACCCACCGCACGCATGTGCTGTTGGCACAGGGCCAGGAGCCCACTCACTTGGACACTCCGGGGCAGGAGCCCTCACAGAAGGTGATGTTGACCGCGGCCTGGGTCTCGCAGTCCTGGTGCCGCAGGACGGTTGTGTTGACGCGGACTTGACAGGAGTCTGGGAGAGGAAAGGCGGATGCAAGGCCCCCGTGGACTCTGCTCTGAGGACCTGGTGGGTGGACCCTCCCCATGGGACCGCCCCTCCCACGGCCCTCCTGGACCAAGACTGGAGCCTGGAGGCTGAGATCCCACTGCTGCCCAGTGCTGCCGTCTGGGTGGGAACGGAAGGGCACGGGATGAAGCCAGAGGGCGGGTGTGGGAAGGCGACCTCCACTTACCCTCCTCACAGGAGTAGCAGCAGCCGGTCTTCCTGAGGCTCCCCTGTGGGGCCAAAGACAGGGCCAGGGCTGTGGGGTGCCTGGGGACTCACTTGGGGGCGGGTGCCTCGGGGCTCACCTGGGGGCAGGTGCCTCAGGGCTCACCTGGGGGTGGGTATCTGGGGGGGCTCACCTGGGGGCAGGTGCCTGGGGGATTCCCTGGTGGGTGTGGCCTCCTAGGGTGGGGGGAAGCCTCCCAGGGGCACCCAGACAGGGGTGGGGCCTCCCAGGCAGAGGCAGGGCCTCTGGGGAAAGAGTGGAGCCTCCCTGCTGGGTGGGGCTTCCTGATGGACAGGGCCTCCCAGGAAGGGGCGGGGCCTCCAGCACACACCCTGCAGCTGGACACATCTGGGCAGGATGCAGGCTGTGGGGTCAGCAAATGGAGTCCGCCCGCGACCTCACAGCGGTACACGGTGCAGTTGTCCACGGGGCTGTTGACCCAGGTTTCGTTCAGCTGAAGTGCAAGGCAGAGGGTGGAAGCTGAGTAGGGACTCTCGTGCACCGAGCCCCATGGAGGATGAAGGTCTGCGGAGGGAGTGGAGCTGAGACCTGCCCCCGCGCCTCCGCTCTTACCTGGACGGGCCGGCCATCAGGCGTGAGGCAGGCTGTCTGCACGCACTCCCTGCAGCACTGCCCGGCCACGCTCTTGTACTCAAAGCCCTGTGGGACAGGAGGGTGTCAGGCTGTGCTCCTCTCCTCCAGTGCCCGTCCCGGCCCAGCCTGCCCTGCCATCAACACCCCAGTGGTCTGGTGGCCGTTATCCCTGTCCCTGCTTGGACCTACACCCACAGAAGCTGCCCCCACCCAGTTATCCGGCTCAGCCTCACCCGTTTCCAGCACCTTTCTTTGCCTACTTCTTTCTTCCTGGGACCTGATGCTAGCCCCTGTCCCCAGCAGCCTGCAGGCCTGTCCCACCCTCAGGTCCCTTAGTCACCCTACTTCATGCCCTCCCTTTGGGAACAAACATGACCTCAGCAAAGGCTGAGCTAGAGAACCCCAGGGAGGCAGGTCAGCATGACTCGGGGCTGGGCCTGCCCAGCAGCTGGGGGCTCACCTGGGGGCAGGTGCCTCAGGGTTCACCTGGGGGCAGTGTCTTGGGGGCTCACATGGAGTTGGGTGTCTGGGAGTTCACCTGGGGGTGAGTGCCTCGGGGGCTCACCTGGGGGTGGGTGCCTTGGGGTTCACCTGGGGGTGGGTGCCTCAGGGGCTCACCTGGGGGTGGGTGCCTCGGGGGTTCACCTAAGGGCAGGTGCCTGGGGGCTCACCTGGGGGCAGGTGGCATTGTTGCAGGCATCCTCCTGACACTGCACTGTTGGATCCTGGGTGTCCCCAGAGAGGCAGGTGCACGTGTGGCAGGGAAGAGTCCCTGGGAAGGTTGTACCAACCTGCAGTGGGTGGGAGGGTGGCACTGAGGGCACTAGAGGGCAACAGGGCCAGGACCCCTCCCCATGACTAGTTGTGACCCACAGGAAGTTGTCTCTTCCCCAAATAGAGCACCCTCAAATGGAGCACCCCTCAAATGGAGTATCCTCAAATGGATGCACCCCTCAAATGGAGCACCCCTCAAATGGAGCACCTTCAAATGGATGCACCCCTGGTGGGCAAGGAATCCAGGAGGGCAGGGAATCTGGACAGGCAGGGAATCTGGGTGGGCAGGGACCCCAGGCAGGTGTGTCCTGCCCCTAGGTCCTTGCTGGGAGGCCCTGAGTAACCTCTCAGAGGCAGCAGCTGTGGAGCTCACGGCTGAAGACGTAAGGGGTCTCCGAGTCCCAGGTGTGTCCCGGCCTTGTCCTGCCCAGGGCCCCTGTATGGATCTGCCCTCATGGCAGGAGTGTCATGACAAGCAGTGGGGTTCAGAGGGCCCCGGGCATCCCACACAGATGTCTGGGTGCAGGGCCACCCCTGCTCGCTGCTGTGCCCTTACCCCGTAGAAGGTGCCATTGTAAGTACAGAGCTGAGGTCCTGGAAGGAAAGGGAGCTAAGCCTGTGCTCCGTGCCCTCGCCCTCCTGCGCCCCCCGCTGCCGGACGCATGGCCACCCAGGAGCTCGTCCCCCCCTGCCCGCCCTCCTGCATCTCCCAACCCCAGACGCGTGGCCACCCAGGAGCCCATCCCTCTCCCGCCCCTGCCCCGCTCACTGCAGCGGAAGGTGGGACAGCAGTCGCCCTCCTCCTGGGTGCGGTAGGGCTCCTGGTCTGGCGGGCACACGGGCGGGCTCTGGGGACAGGTGGTCATGTTGCATACTGCGGGAGAACAGGGCACAGTAAGGGGCTGCTCGCTCCTCACGACCCATCGTTCCCAGAGTAAGCCCCGGGCGGGCTCCTCCCCGGAGACCTGACTTCTCCCACGGCCCTTGGGGGCTCCCTCCAGGCCCCTTGCTTGACCACCTCCCCACTGCTCCCCACGTCCCAGGCCACTCCTGGGCAGGCCAGAGGACACCCGCCTCATCTTTAGGAGGACAATGAAGTGCCTGGAGGCAGTCTCTGCCGAGTGGTCTCACCTGGTCAGACCAGGACAGGGTGGCTCTCCTCTGCTCTCCTGTGCCCACCCTGCAGGCCCCTGGCAGGCACTGGCTCCATCCACCCCACCCCCATGCCGGGCACCTCTGCTCCTTGGGCTCTTACCGCACAGCGTCTCAGGGCAGCAGGGGTCGTCGGCCCGGGGCCTGGTCACAGTCTGGAAGCCAGGGCGGCTGCACGTTGGGGGCTGGCCCTGGGCCTCACAGGGCAGGGGCTGGCACTGCACTGACACTGAGCCCTCGTCACACACGCAGGCCTGGCAGTTGCTGACCCACCGCTCCCCGGGCTGGAAGGGATCGAGGGGGTTCCTGAGGGTTCTTGGACAGGGCTCCAGGCCTCCCCACCACACTCAGCCACGGGCCAACCCTGGGCATCTGTCTGTCCACCCCGTCCCTTGGGCTGGCACCCGAATGGCCCAGAGTGACGGGACAGGAAGCCCACACCATGCGCCCCACAGCTGTCCTGTGGGATGGGGAGGCTCTCTTCCTCCCTCGGCTCCAGGGAGGGTTGGGTAGGGCAGGTGGGGGCGGAGCCACTCACAGATTTGGGAAAGCCATCCGGTCCCACGCAGGCTGGAAAGGAAAGGGCACGGCGTCACCGAGGATGCTGAGATTGCAGGCATAGGGGCCTCTGGCTCTGGGAGGTGCTCTCAGCCTGGCGCCACTTCCCCCTGAGATGGAAGCCCCTGGAGATCTTGTAGGGTGTCAGCTGTGGCTGGAGCTCAGGCCAGGGCACTGTGAGCCCAGCTGTCAGTGCACAGGAGGCTCCGCCACGGTGGTGGGAGGCAGGGCTCAGGGGAGGGACCACGACAGGATCGCACAAGGACAGTGCCTCCCGTGGGGATTCAGGGGGCTGGAGGGGGCTCTGCAGGGGCTCAGGGCCACACTGGGGCTGTTGTGGGCCCCTGGTGGGGCGAACGTGGCACAGGGGTCAGCTGGGGAGAGGGGAGAGCACAGTGGGGCTGGGACGGCCCCTCCCACCCTTCAGGCGCTTGGTCGGGCCCAGGTGGCAGCGCTTACGGCAGGCCTGCACGCAGATGCCCGTGTGTTCATTGAAGAGGATTTGGTCCTCGGGGCAGAAGCAGCCCTCCGCCAGCCCCTCCAGCTGTGAGCTCTGGTTCCTACGGGGTGACAAGAGTGGCCCTGGGACCCTGAGGTCCAGGAGGCCTCCCAGCATCTTCATCCATGTGAGTCCCCAGGATGGGCAGTGGGGAGCAGGAAGGAGAGGAATGGTGGAGTGCGGGGCTTGCTCAGGGTGGGCGGGGCAGGGGTGGGGATGGGGGGAGGCAGGGTGGGGACACGCCTCCTGCCTGCTCTGTCTCTAAGGCATCTGGGAGCAGCCAGGGATGTTTTTCAAGGAGTCCTGGGCTCAGGGGCACCCCAGATATCTGTGGCTCACAGCAGGATGCCCCCTGGCCTCCTGCTCCCCCAGATCCAGCCATCCCTGTGCTCACCTGGAGTTGCAGGAAGCAGGCTGTATGGGGCCGCATGGCTTGTACACTTTGGTGGGTGGGCAGGTGAGATCTGTGGGTACAGAGAGATGTCAGAGAGGCCGAGGGGGCTGGAGGGTCCAGGGCCACCCCCTCTCACTGCACAGGCCCCTCAGAGAGGCCGAGGGGTTTGGGGGTGCAGGACCATGCCCACTCACCGCACAGGCCCTTCAGGGAGGCCGAGGGGTTTGGGGTTCAGGGCCGACCCTCACTCACTATACAGGCCCCTCAGAGAGGCCGAGGGGTCTGGGGTCTCAGGGCCGCGCCCACTCACCGCACAGGCCGCCGGCTGCACCCCGCCAGTCACTGCACACTCCCCGTGCGCGACAGAGCGCCGCGTAGGCCTCCAGGCTCTGGCAGGGCACCTCGGGGCGGCCCCGGCAGCCGTCACTGATGCAGGCATTGAAGAATGGGCCGGGGGGCACCAGGTCATGGCACTCGGCAAAGACCCTGTGGGCAGAGCGATGGGGCGGAGGGCACCAGGCCCCAGGGAACTGAGCAAGGGCAGGCAGGGGCACCCCGGGGCCTCCCATCCCGAGGGGAGGACTCACTGGCTCAGCATCAGATCACAGAGCGGCTGCGGCGGGCACGGGCTGGGGGTGGGTGTGCCAGACGTTGGGGCCGTGGGGCTGGCAGTGGGGGGCGTGCCAGTTGGGGCCCAGCAGCCGTCCTTTCTGCTGTCGGGAACCAGCCACGTCTTGGCCATGTCCTTGCAGCTGGTGGCCGTGGTTCCATCCTGACTGCGGCAATCGTCCCTCTGGCTGTTGGTGCAGGTGCCTGGGGGCAGGCCAGGGCGTCACCATGGGGCTGGAATCCGGGGAGCCTTTTGTGCCCCTTCCCCTGGCTCATTCCCCTCCACAGGCTTTGCTCCCAGCTCATACCCCTCTGAGGCTGCCCCCCAACCCCCAGTTCATTCCCGTCTGCAGGCTTCCCCTTTGCCCACTGGGCTGTCAGCCCCTGGGGCAGCCCCGGTGGGGCAGGACCCGCCGGGCGGGCGGCGCTCACTCACCGCACTGGCCCTCGGTGTTGTTGTGGAAGAGGCTGTAGGGCAGCCGGGCCTGGAAGACGTGCCCGCTGAAGGTGACGCTCACACTCAGGGCGGGAATGTCCACGCGCATGGTGGTCCCCGTCACAGATACAAGCACGCCGTCCTTGCTGAAGCCGCTGCTCACCCGAATTTGGTCAAACAAGATCTGGGGGCAGCCGGGGGAGCCCGTGAGCTGGGAGGCGGTGCCGGGTGGGCTCTGGGAGTGGGGCGTGCCTTTGGGGATCTGCCTATGCAACCCCCACCCCAAAGCCCGGCTCTTCCCCGGGGGCCTGGAGTCTCCAGTTGGCTGCATTTGGGCTGCAGGGTGCGTTCAGCCTGGGGTGGCCCCACAGCCTTCCCTGCCCCCCGGGAACTGCCTCCGGCCCTGGGCAATGGCCGCAGCAGCTGGGCCTCCGGCCTGCAGTCGGCCTGGCCGGGTGTGGTTGGCACACGCCCAATACTGCCACACGCAGCGTGGGCACAGGGAGGGCTGCCCTGCCGGCTGCCTGGACTCACCAGGCCCTCCTCCTTGCCGTGCACCATGGTGACAGTGAGGACGATCTCCATAGACTTGTAATGTATGCCGAGGGCACGGGGGCAGCTGGCGGCGGCGGAGGCTGCGCAGTACTGGTTGTCCAGGTAGAGGCTAAAATTCCCAAGGCGCGCGTGGATCTCTCTCATGAGGACGTAGGTGCAGTTGCCCTCGAAGGAGTAAGAGGTGCCGTCAAAGGTGGAGTAGTGGGAGCCCCCCCACATGCTGCAGACGCCTGCGGAACACAGAGGCACCGACGGGCTGGCGGGCTCCATGGCGGTCCCCTCGCACCCCGGGCTTCTCAGCAGCCAGCGTCACCACCACGACTGCCGCCCTGGGAGCCCCTCAAGACCCTCGGCCTCAGCAGCCTCATCTATAAAGTGGGTGCAGTGTGTAGAATGGTGTCCCCCAAAATCTATGGCCACCGCAGAACCTCCGCACGTGGCCTTGCCGGGAGGAAGCATCTTTGCAGAGTGATTAAGTGAAACATCTTACAGTGATAACATCGGCGACTACCTGGGTGGACCCTAAATCCAATGGCTAGCACCCTTGCAGGGGACAGGACAGAGACAGACACACAGAGTCGGGAGGCCACAGAGAGACAGAGGAGAAGATGCAGCCATGGCCAGGGGAGGCCTGGAGCCCCCAGGCTGGGAGAGGCAGGAAGAACCTCCCCAGATCCTCCACAGGGAGCGTGGCCCTGCCCTCCTGGATCTCAGCCTTCCAGCTCCAGGAGGGAGAGTGCGTTTGTGTCATCTAAGCCCCCGGCCTGTGGAGGTTTGGAAGGGCAGCCCGGGGCCAAGGACACGGGAGAAGTGAGAACCCCACCACCTCTTAGCGACAGTGCCGCTTTGATGGGAGCCGCTGTGAGGACCCAGGAGACCACAGCTCCTCTGGGCTCCCTCTTCCATCCTGAGCTTCTCCCGGCCTCAGAAACCCCTGGACAGGCTTCCTTTCAAGCCACACAGGTGGATGTGCAGACAAGCTCAGCAAATGCCTCCGCCCCTCTCCTGTGGGCGGCGTCAGCGTGTTGAGCCCGGTGGACACGGAGCCTGCAGACTAATGGCGCACACCATGTGCACTGCTGTGGCCAGGACGGTGTGGCGCATGGCGGTTTCCTGAAGGGATGCCACCCGTCTCCCAGGCGCCTCTCCACGCACCCCCGCACCCCACTCCTCCAGCCTGGCCACCGGCACGGCCCGCTCCACCTGCCCCCGGGGAGTCCTGCGGCCGCCCTCACTCACACTCGCACTCGTAGTGGAAGTTGCAGGGCTGGCTCGGCTCCGACACTTTGATGGGCAAGTGCTTGTTCACACAGGTGACGTTGGCCACGGGCTTCGGCTCCAGCAGGACAACACGATTGTCACCCACGCACTGCGCCACGGTGCAGTTCTCCAGGGTCCAGGACTCATTGACCTGTGGCAGGGAACAGGCACGTGCTCACTGGGACCGGCTCACGGCGCCCATCCCCTGGTCACCCCATCCCTCGTGGTGCATAGCCCCAGGTGGCCACAAGAGTCCGCCTGAAGAGGGTGGCCCCCCGTGTTGGCCTGGCCCCCCAGAGCCTGTGCGCCTCCTCCAACTGGAGCCACGGGTGGAGGGTCACTGAGACAGGCCTCAGGGACTGGGCCCTGGCGGTGCCTGAGCAAACCCAGGCCCTGTGTGCACAGCAGGGGAGGCAGAGGGTGGGCGGGACCCACCTGCCGAGGAGGGACAGCGTTGTCACAGCCGGGGGCAGGGGAGGGCAGGGGCGGTGGGCTGGAGGACACTGGCGGTGGGGAGGTGGGGCAGGGGCCCTGGAAGCGGTCGATGTCACAGTGCTGGTTGCACACGGCATAGAACTGGCAGCCAGCTCGGTCGGTCTTATTGTAGATGACCTCCGCTGTTGGGGACAAGACAGTAAATAAGCCACTTCCAGTGACAGGCAAGCCAGAGCTTGGGATGGCAAAGGCAGGGGTCAGTGCAGGAGGGAGTGGTCATTCAGGGAGGGGCCGGGGAGAGCGGAGGCTGAATGAGGCCGGTGGGGGCAGGGTGAGGCCAGTGGGGTGAGTGAGGCCGGTGGGAACAGTGAGGCTGGCAGGGAGAGAGGAACTGTCTCCCCGGACAGGCAGACCCAGGTTGGTATGGCACGGGGGAAAGGGCACAGGGGCATCATCCACATGGACTCACCAGGTGAGAAGAGCTGTCCAAATGCCCTACAGAAGCACGGAGTTGAGAAGTGGGTGCTGGGGAAGCCAGTGGGCATGAGGGTGGTGAGGGCCGAGGTGGACGCAGTGGTCATACTGAAGGCAGTGCTGGGGAGCACTGTGGGGGTTTGGATGGTCCTGAGGGCAGATGAGCTGGGCACTGTGGAGCCGGTGGCTGTGGGCATGGTGGCTGTGGTGGTCAGCACTTTGGGGATGTGAGCTGTCCCCACAGTGGAGGAGGGGGTGGCCATGGATCTGGTGGCCATGTTCGTGGTGGCTGTGGTGGTTAGCACTGAAATGGTGCTTGTAGTTCCTGGGCTGGAGGAGAGAGTAGTTTTGGAGCCAGTGGCCACCGTCATGGTGTCTGTGGTAGGAATTACCAGGGTCCCTGAAGTGGAGGACAAGGTGGTTGTGGAGCCCATGGAAGAAATAATGGTGGCTGTAGTGGTTGGCTCTGTGAAAATCCAGGTGGTCCCTGTGATGGAGGAGGGCGTGGCCATGGAGCTGGTGGCCACTCTCGTGGTCAACAATTTGGGGGTCTGAGCAGTCCCTGGGCTGGAGGAGGGGATCACTATGGCACCAGTGGCTGGAGTAGTAGTGGTTGTGGTAGGAAACACATTGGGGGTCTCAGCAGTCCCTGGGGTAGAGGAGGGGGTGGCTGCAGAGCCAGTGGCTGCCATTGTGGTGGCTGTGGTAGGAATTACCACAGTCCCTAAAGTGGAGGACAGGGTGGTTGTGGAGCCCGTGGATATGGTCATGGTGGTTGTAGTGGTTGGCTCTGTGAGGATCCAGGTGGTCCCTGGAGTGGAGGAGGGAGTAGCCATGGAGCTGGTGGCCACAGCTGTGGTGGCTATGGTGGTCAGCACTGGGGATGTGTAGGTGGTCCCTGAGGCAGAAGAGGGAGTTGCTGGGGTGCTGCTGGCTGCAGGTGTGGTGGCCGTGGTGGTCAGCACTCGGGGGATGGGAGTTGTCCCTGGAGTGGAGGAGGGAGTGATGATGGAGCCAGTGGCCATGAGAGTGGTGGCCACGGTGGTCAGTGCTGTGGGAGGACCAGTAGTCTCTGGGGTGGTGGAGAGTGTTGCCCTGGAGCCAGTGGTCGTGGGTGTGGTGGTGGTGATCAGCCCCGGATAGGTGGGTGCAGTCCCTGGGCTGGAGGAGGGGGTGGTTCTGGGGCCAGTGGACATGGGGGCTGTGGCCATGGTAGTCAGCACTTTGGGTGTGTGAGCTGTTTTTGGGGTGAAGGAGGGGGTGGCTGTGGAGCCAGTGGCCAC